GGGGTGCCCATGGCTGTCTCAACGGCCCCTAAGCCATCTTACTGTATGGACGGAATTTTATCTCTGGACGTTTCGGTTCATTCCAGTTCCCGAACTATGGAACAGAGTATCAACGAGCCAGGTATATGTTAAGGTCACATGTGCCATGTAAGTTGTTACATTGGCATAGCCAACTGGATGTACCACGCGGCGATTTACAAAATAAAAAATAGATTTATCTCATTTTCGTGTTTTTAACGGCCCGAAAAATGATTTTAAGTGATGGGACAGTTGTTTACCGACGGAACATGTTATTTCCACCTTTTAAGTCCATCAGAAGGCAAGAAATACGCCGACGAACGCGTCAAACTAACGGGTCTCGCACCGGCCTTACAAACGCCATGTGACATCTTCTTTCGTCACCGGGCGAAGGTCGCCTCAGAGATCCTCTCGAGGTCTTCTGTAACATTAGTGAAGATTGCGATACCACACCTTGGTTACGCCATTGGTGATGACTCCTTTGTCATGCTGATATCAGTTGTGTTCCAAGTTCAGGCGCCTGATGACGCACGCACTTTCATCACACCTTAAACATCCAATAATACTATGTCATAGTTGTTTCACCCGCCGCGTAATTAGCAGGTGAAAGCACGCAGTCTGGTAAGGTGAGGCGTGCCAAGTGACACGCACATACTATAAAATTTGGCCGTCGGACCTATTGTGACATATTATAGACCATATTAACCAATACATGATGCAATTGTACAGGTGGCATTCAATGTTATCTGTTCCGTTGTCGTGCGTGATAAGTTTGGAAATGGCCGACCGGGAACTTTGCACGCTTAGCTTGACACTGATAGCTTGACTTGACATGTCTCATGTTCCATACAAAAATGGGTTGCTCTTGAAATAACGTCCACTACCTCATGGATCAATAATTGGTTTCGCCGCTGTAATTTTCTGCAAGTCATTTCGCCGCTGTCAGTTCCCTTTGGTGTCCCAGTGACAAAGAAAATATGCCTTTACTGTATGCACCCCGTTGACCTCGCACAAAGCACCGAGTGCTGGTGTTTAAGACGCGCTTCCGTGCGGGTTCTTTCCATCTCCCAAACAGCTTTCCGAAATGATTTTCGGACGGCGCAGCGGAGTCACGCCAAATTTTACATGGCTGTAGACAATGGAATAAAAGATTGTCTAAGATCAAAAATTGGGGTGTGCCTTGCAAGGTTGTTGGCCTACAGCAGGTCAAAGTTAGCCCATAGATTTAGCGAAGGCAATTTCTAGCAAACCGCTTAGCCTGATGCAATAACTTAGTATTTGACAAATCCATACATATCTGGGATAGTTTCTTGGACAACGCAGCAATTGAATTAAGAAGTTCCATTGATCTGGGGTCAGGTACGAACGTCAGAATAGGGTCAGACCACCCTTTTTATGACTATAGAATTTGCTGTGCGGGATAGTTTCTGGTTTCCACTTTTAGTTTCATGAAAACAAGAACCGCAATAAACATCTTTCATGAACTTTTTAAAGGTCAAAATAGATCACTGACCTACAGTGACCCAGGGAACATTTATATTCCATAAAGCACTTTGTTTTCTGCCTACCGTAATCTGACGTTTATTAAAATGCAAAAATCAAGGCAGCCTTGTGTGGTTTTGGTAACCATGACCTTTGAAAGGTTAAACAAGGTCACTGACCATAAATGAGCACAAGTGACGTTTTACTTCGAATAGATATCTAGGTTCACGGTGACTACATGAGAAAGTCTTGGGGCACTTTGTACAACAATCGAATTCGGCCTTGTGTGGCTTTACTTGACCTGAATGTCATAAGATAGGGACCTCAAATTTTGATAAACGTGAGTACGCGTAAAGGCGAACACACCCTGTCAATTTGGTACGTCTAGCTCTCTTAGTTTTTGAGACCTCAGGTCCCCTCAGGTCAAATTGTCCCCTCTCCCACCCGAGCGAAGGTATTCAACCGGCCACCCAAGCGCGTGTTAATGACAGGCATCAATGTTAAGCAATGACATAAAATCAAGTCAAATGTACATAATACAAAATCAAACAAAATGTAGTTATGCACGAGCAGCGCGATGGCGTAATCGCTTGGATCTAGCATGATTAGCTTTCGAGATAGCCTGGGTCCTGTGGGGATCATCGTCCCTTTCCGATCATCATCCGAAGATGAAAAAACGCGCGTTCGATGAAGGCCAATACAGCGCTCGCTCACTGCTGTGTACCAGTGGGAGAGGGAGTAATGGAGCTATGTATGGCTCCGCAAAATGTAAAAGTATTCAACGCCCTTTCTCAAGGCAGCCCTGTTTTTAGACAGCTGTAGGAGATTTGAAATTGGGTTTTTGCTTGACTGCCCCAAGTCACCACAGTGAGTGGTGTGCGCACCTGCAGTCATTTCAAGAAAACCATAGCCAAGTTATAGGCGTGATCTCACCCCGAATAAACTTTACAAGAACTCTGAGGAAACTTCCATCCAGCGACCGGACGTGACTGGCATGCCCTCTGGAGGATATATTTTAGCAAGCAATGATTGCCGTTTTATACAGCTTCCAGCAACGACAAATCTTAATTGTGTTAAAGGAACTACAGTATAGGCTATAAGCTTGCATACGAGCTGTTTAATCGGAGTATATTTCTTGCAGCATTGCCATATCAAATGGATTTTTACCATTTTCAGTAGACTATCATGTGAAAAAGTATAAACTTTTGGGATTGCGAGAGAGTTGATGAATACGGGTCAAGACCGAGTACATATTCTGATGGCCGAAATGGCAATGCCATGGGACTAACAGAATCAGACAGAGGTGAAAAGCACAACCGTATTGGCAAAGGCGTAGATTGACGTGAGCAGCGTCCGAGTACTCCTGAGCGCCAGCCATGAGACGTGCGTCCAAGGATCGATGCTAAATCTCGGCAACTAGAGCAGATAAACACATGGAACTGACAGCACTGACTGGATTTGCTTCAACTCTACAACAGATCTCAAAACCGTCCAAGACGGTGGGCCAATTATTTATTGATAATGATTAGATACGATACTAGCTGACCGAACGACGTGGCCAACGACACCTTTTGGAAGCCGACAAAACTGAGGTCTACCCCGAGAGAAATTGGGTCATGAAAACTGCGGAGGCGTGAGACACTCTTTATGATTGTCAATATGCAGCGAAAGTGCTCCTTTTTGTGCAATACTTTGTTCATCATCAACAGCTGTATACCAACGCAAAGTCGTAAACTTCTAATTAAAATAGCCCTGCATGGTCAGGCTGTCAGCCAGCTGAATTATAACCGATGGCATTAGTGAATCAGCTCGTGAATGCTACAACAGCAAATCTGCGCCTTTTAAACTGTCATCAAAGGCGGAATTCCCAGTATATTGGTTGTCATTGACATCACTTGCCAAATGTGTTTTTAGCTGTCACTTTTTAACTGGCTTGTGTTTTGGCACCATCCACATGATGACGTCTGACGCCTTAATGTGGGTGTTACGGCCTTGTCCATGCCGCGCCGCACGACGCCTCTCACTGGGATTACGTTTGGTATTATCGTTGCGGTAATTGATACCTAAAGCCTGTCATCACCTCGCTTCTCCCACATTGCGTTTTAATGGATATATATATATATATATATATATATATATATATATATATATATATATATATAGCTTAGGAATCGTACATGGTATATAAATGTCCATTACTAATTGTCTTTTGCCGTTTGTCTTTCGCCGTTCTGAAGTCATCGGGGTGACGAGGGAGATTTTGACACTTAAGGTTGGCTTACCCCAAAACCGTCCCGACGCGCTGGACAGCAATGGGGACGTCTTTGAAAACATATATGGTGGCAATGGCGGCGGATGTGTTGGCGGTGGCGTGAACTGGGGGAAGGCGGCGCCGGCGGCGCCCGGATGAGTGCCGGTGCCGTTTGGCGTCTGATGGGAAGCTGGATGCTGTTCAAAGTTCGGCCGATACGCTGGCGGGGCGAACGGCTCGGTGGCATTTTCGTGAACCGTGCAGCAAAGGCAGCGATCCTAGGCTGGCGCGTGCTGGCTGTTGAAGCTGAGGTGGGGAAGCATGTGGCAGCGGTCGCACCGGCTTCCGTTCAAATCAGGACAGTCTTATGCTCTCTATGTTGAAAGATCCTCGTCCCGGCAGATTGCAGCAACAGCAGCTTCCTTGTCACTCCCCACCTGTGCCGGCATGATTTGCCATTCTGATCTCTCACACTGCTGAAAGCATTCCGCATGTGTTCCGCAAATACTGCTGACATTTCAGCTTTCGTGGGCGTTACTGGGGGAACGAAATTTAGGTTCCTTTCACTTAGTTCACTAAAGTAATTTCATGATCGAAAAGCGTCTCGCTGGGAGCAAACTCGCCATCCGTGAGCTGGTTTTCCGACGCCTTTGCGCCGAAACAGGATATCTACGGCAGCCATTATAGAGCGACACGAAAAGACGAGGGATTTCCGCCAGGGTTCTCCATGGTTTCAAAGCAATACAGCGAGCCAATGATTTTTACTTGTTCACCATCGCCGCAGCGGCGCCATTTCGGCGCGCATTCGATCGCCGCATAAGCCGTGGCCTAGCCAAGCGTCACTGGGTGCTCAAAATACGTTCTGCTACGACAGGTCTTAAGATTTTGTGCAGGTCCAGCGGATAGTTCAGCATTTTTGTGCAGTCTAGTAGCGACCCCGTCCTGCGGGCCGGTCGCCACGGCAGCCGGGCTCTTTAGCCGTACATTAACATGGAAAGCTACTTAAACCAAACAACCATTGGCACATAACATGATTTGAACGTTACCAGCAAATTGGTTTCAAGGCCCCTGATAGTTAGCGTATGAGGCAGATGTCATACAATTCAGTGTCTCCTAAACCGTCCGACAGTCCAACTAAACACAGCGCACGAATAACGGTACAGAACATGCCTGGAGTGACTTTAAACCAGGAATCAAATTTGCATTGCAGTTCACTGCTGAGTTGGCTGTAAGTTGAATTAGTACCTACCCAGTGATTTGTCCAGGAGTTGTACACCACGGCCAAGCCGAAGATCCTAGAAGGGCAGAGTCCAGCTCCAGTCAACTGAAACTGAGTACCGAAATCAGTTGTGACTTTCAAACACATCCGGCAGTTACATACAACACTTACATTAAGCATACTGCTCTTTTAGCGATTCTACGGCCTAGCATGATCATGAACTCATGAGATTGTTTTCAGGCACAATAGAATTGCAGGATGAATTTGCATTCAAGCATGTCTGTGTAATGCTCGCTGTTCGCTAGAGGATGTTCGCCGAACCAACATGAACCAAAGCCAGCCCAGCCATTCGCAGACCCCACAGGTCGAGTGCTTGCGGATGGATCTTTTAGTCCCCAGGATATAAGAACAGAATACATGGTGGGCACGAAAGTGCTCTGGTGAAGCCTACGTGATATATTATGCGTGCTTACAACTTACGAAACCTAACAAGTGACGTAAAGGAACAAGAATGGAAAGCAAGTGAGCGCATCACCCAAATTTCACGCATCTCTTTGACATCGCTATAATGACGGCCTAAGCACGACATTCTTATAATCCAAGCAACAAGAAAACATAGGTTATAATTACGCAAGGCATTTTGATGTTGGGTGTGTATTGCAGTATGCTCATTTTTGTCGATATTTCTGAGAGCTTACAATAAATAACCAACTCATGTATTGCCAGGAACAGAAGGATTTTCCAGGCGGTACAATACTCTTAAAACTACTTTTCAAAGCAATTGAGATCTAAATGGATTAAAATGTGGTTTTAATGTGGTTATGATGTGATGTGGCATCACTTTGATGTGGTTGATATGCAGAAAGCAAACCAAGTCAACGCTTTCTGAAACCACCCGCAGCTCTTACTGCCGTCCGGATATCACCTGCATACTTCACCTTGCACAAACTGCACACATCACTTCAGAGAAGCCAGGCTTGCTCGCTTGGAATATGTGCATTGAATACCGGTCTTCGAGAACAGAATGTTTCATTACCCAGTCCCAGTCCCCCAGAATGGTTAGTCCTTTGTCCCAAATCCCCGCCCCCCCCCTCACATGGTCAATTCTCTTTTTGAAGTATACTCTTCCCATACCTCATGATACGGTTAATGTTAATACTTGGCGAGAAATAGAATGGCCATGGCTTCTTGGCAGCCTAGCTTCCGCGCCTTTGTCCAAAAATGTGTGGAAGTCGAACCTTTTTCCATCTGGATTGTCGCCTGGAACCACTACCTATACTACGTCACGTATTGGCTTGGCTCTTTTAGTGCTTGCGTAAAACAATGGGTATAAGGCCACAACTTTGGTTAGGCGAACTCAAGCGGTAAATAAACGTCAGGTGAAAGTCTTAGGGAATTTTCACTGTCTTTATAGGAATGAGTTAAGCGATTAACTCGAGCTGGATTTATAGACAATGTACATCTGAGCTAGGCAGATCTCAAATGGAGACGATAGAAATACTTCTATGGAAAACTGTCGCGGTATCACTTCGAAGCAGCTTCCTTATCTACGCACGTTCATGCATGAGATGGTGTATATCCATTTCAGCTATTGTAGTTAACTTTCTGGCGTTTCAGGTGCACTGGTTGTTTGAATTAGAATCGTGAACACTTTGGAAAGGGTGTTAATGACGTCATCATACCCGTCCTCCAACGAGCACAAGATCACGTACAGATGACAATGGACAACAGACGTCACACATAAATAACAGCACGGTGTAGCGGTTCTCGATGATTTTCTATTGCATGTGGTGGTCGAGCTAGCCCGAAATAAAGTGCAATCATAAATTCAAACAGTTCCCAAAAGCCCTCTTATTTAGCTCGCCTGCACTGCGAAGATGAATAACATCAAAACCTTACACCCATCGAGCACTGACCGTATTTGCATTGGAATTGAGTGTGAGCTGCAGCGCTGCGGTGGCCGCAGTTTGGAGCCAGCCCGCGGATATCATTTCATGGCCTTGTGACCTTCAGTCTTGGAGTTCCAATGACGTTGGCGTAGCTGCCATCCATGTTCATTAAACTACCTTTGTGTGACATAAGGTAGACGGTGCTGCTTCAATAATCCATCCGATCGTGGTTCACGTTTTGGCTCCAGCCGGGTTCTGTCATACGAGAGAGGGAAAGAGAGAGAGAGAGAGCGAGAGAGAGGGAGAGAGAGAGAGAGAGAGAGAGAGAGAGAGAGAGAGGGAGAGAGAGAGAGGGGGGGAGAGAGAGAGAGAGAGGAAGAGAGAGAGAGAGCGAGAGAGAGAGAGAGAGAGGGAGAGAGAGAGGGAGAGAGAGAGAGAGAGAGAGAGAGAGAGAGAGAGAGAGAGAGAGAGAGAGAGAGAGAGAGAGAGAGAGAGAGAGAGAGAGAGAGGCGGTTCTTTGTGTGTGAAGGACATTCATAACAATATCCCTACCAAAGCCCAGAGCACTTCGGTCTGTGAGATGGGAAGGGATTAGGTCCTGGCATATTCAGGTCGGTAGTATACATATTCGAAATACAATATCATAAGTCATGACAACAAGCAGGAGCAAAAAACGTTCCGATCGGTAGATGCACCCACGTTACACAGTGCTACGACCAGGGCTGAGCGCGCGTTAGTTTCGTTTGTACCGTGATTCATCCTATGTGATGAAATGCACAAGATTGTACTGCCAATTTACGAGCGGGGGGGGGGGGGGGGTGATTATGTCATCGTCTCATATGATGTCCATATGCTGCCGATGTGATACAATGACAATGGCGTCTGATTCGTTTCTGTGTCAAAGACTGCTTCAAGGTACGTCCAATTATCAAATCGCCAAAATACGAGTACCGTTGTAAAATAGCCCCCGCTGCTACCGAACTGAATAACAGTGAACGGGCAAACTGACGTCATTGTTCAGGGTGTGACGTCATGCGCAGGATCATGCAGCGAGACTGAATCCTTTTCTTGAGGACACTTTGGTATCGTTTGGCAATCCCTTGCAAAAGATAATAACAAAAGGTAGGATTTTTGGCAGATTGCTTCGCATGCCTATGTTTCCTCTATCGTTGGTGCAAATCACCTCGGTTTGGGGGAATATCCTCTAAACCGTTCAAAGATTTATGACGAAAATTTGGTCAGCTTGGATTTCGATACTTTTTACAACAGAACTATACGTTTTTAATTCCCGTCTTGTCAGGTTGCTAATCCATGACGGCGTTCTCAAGGCTCTGTGGGGCGGCAAGGTGGAGAAACAGCGCTCAGCGGCGCAGATTTAGCCCTGTGTCTATCAGAGCTCATCGTTCATTGGTTCTGGACGTGCTAGATAGTTGCATAATGAGCTTAACGATGTGACCTTGCCTATGGTCACTCGAGGTCGAGGTCAGATCAATTCTGACATTTAAGTTGCATGAACGCTTGCACGAGCATCAAATATTAAGGAACGCGTTGACTGAAACGTGGCACGTTGACTCGTCGCACATGGCGAGCAGGCACGTGGTGCAATATCATCCAAAGATAAGACCACGGGTGATCAGGAAGTGGCGGCAGGGAATTTCGCATTACGCCGTGGTACTTGATAGTGACCAGCTTGATTCGCCTCATGTTTATGCTGCGTAGAAAGCAGAGCCATGTTGACTGCAAAACAAAAATAGCCACTGATGAATGAAACCACCTAGCCCGCGGAAGGTGGCAAAACTGGAAAGACTGGTTCGGACTAGAACCATCAGCTCAAGGGATGGCAAATGCCTTATGCTTGTGCGTATCATGTTTGTTAGGAAAGCACACACTAAACCTTGTGATGAACACAAGATCATGCGAAAAGACACTACATTCAATATCGTTCGAGCCAGGCAAACCTGGCATTCTACCTTTTATTCGATGCTGAGAATCGCACGAAAGAAGCATGGCAGCGCCCTGTACGCCACGTCTTGACCACGCAGTTGTGCCCCGAACGAGGTACTCCAACTGAGTTAGTATGCTATAACATTGTGGCCGCGTCCGATTGAAAGGGGCGGAGTGAGTGGTGAGAGCTGCAGAGGTGAGAGGTGCGCCACAACCGGAGCGAACTCAACTCACGCGCCACAGCTTTTCGCGATCCGAGATTGTCGTCCGTCTTTCATGTTGGCCGATCTAATTTGCACGTTGGCAATGCGAACGCGCCTTCGAGTCCGGGCAATCTAACGCGCCAGCTGAGCTCGGCTCCCGGGGGTGGACGCCGCTGGCGCCGGCTGCGCGGCCGCCGAAACGGGCGCGGCAGGTCGGAGGAGTCATCACGCTCCTCTGCACCGGCGCCGGGCGACGACGGGGCGGCGGAGGTGTGCATGACGACGCCGGCGGTGGGGCAGACGGAGACGCATGCGACCGATACCAGGTCCTCTTTGGAATTGAAAAACTAGTGGTAGTACTATGCGGCGCACCTGATCACGCCTTTGGTCGCGATTGGAGTCGATTTAAAGGTTACGTTTCACGGAAAGGAAACCGAGGGCATGTTGCCACGGTTGCTAGCAGCAGAATAGTTATTAGATGGGATGAATCGTATCTGCGCGATTGTGTCCCATAAGAACTAAGTGCTGACTTCTTGAGTTCACCTGCTGCCCGCATCTTAACTTATGCAAGTAATGTATGAGGTGCATAGATAGCTAAGATGGCCTTACGTAGGCTATTATATGATTGGACATCTCTCTGTCATTTTCTGGAAAAAAACCAACATCTCTGCTGGATAATGGTCGAATTGAGATCGCTTCGTCGATATTTTCTCTCTGCGTTCCTTCGGAGACGAAACGAGGAAGACCTGAGGCCTAAATGCAAGGTACCTACTAATGGTCGTTACCGGAGCGAGCCGTTCAGATTACATCTAATTAAAAACACATTTGGGCAATTCTTGCTCCCACATAATTTTCCCTTTCTTTTGGTGCATTCATTTGTATCTCCCTTATCTGTATCTTTCCATAAATTTTCTGCCTCGAAATGTTGCAAAAATATATAAATCTCCAAGCAATAATATGTTTACCTGCTTTAGTCATGTCAACATCAGTTAATGAACCTGCAACTGCGTCCAGTTACAAATGTTTTTTAAGAAGTAAGGCTTGCTTTCCACTCGTATCTATCAATTTGCGATAGTTTTTCGGAGATATAGACTACGTTCAGGGGAATCCGGACGGCTCAACCCAGTACTTAGCGAAACCTTAGGGGGGGGGGGGAGTCTTCCTCCCGCCAGCCATAGTGCTCACGGGAAGGGCATCCGGGACAGGGTCAAGCGCTCCAATTTACTCCTGATTGCGATGACCTGCAGCTGTTGGCAGCAGTCGCGCCAGGGCTCAGGTGATTTCATAGGGTACAACGGAGCCATCCGAGCTGTATGGAACGTTACACTTCCGCCATAAGTTTCTGCCATGAATCGGAAATTTCACGATCAAACGTTGAGATCAGGGCTCATGCAGCAAGCGCTGCTTAGCGTGGGCTCTGGTCCCAGAAATACATCCAAGCAAAAGGTGCAGACTGAATTCTTGTTTAGTTATTACGAGAAATGGATGAAATTCATAGCAACCTCAAATTTTCTGAATTGGACTAACTGGAAAAAATGGCAGGGTGAGACCATATCATAAGGTGGATGGAAAACTAGAAATTCTTCCAATAGCAAGCTTATGTAAAAACACTTTGGCATCACTTACGAAGTTCCCTCACACTAAAATATTCATTCGACTCCCACCCGTAGGTGGTTTTCAAGTACACGATATTTGTTTTTCAAAACTTCTCTCCCTTTGGGAAAGCAGTGATATACATATGCAATGCTAGTGCTTTACTAAACCTGCACAACTACGTCATCGCAATGTAATAATAAAGTCTTGAGGAGAATATATATATATATATATATATATATATATATATATATATATATATATATATATAGATCATAGAAGCATAACCCAGAGCCCCATCGGTGATCACCACAAAACATTTAAATTTTCCTCGACAAGCCCGGTCTGGGCCGCTTACAATGTCCTGCTAGTAATTAACCCGCTAGTGCTCAACAGCTAACTTTGACAAATGGTGCGGGCATACTAACCTACAACCAATGCATTTGATCGCTTCATACGGTTCCGTCGTTCTAATTATTTTGATTGGTATTGGGCTCCTTAGAACTCTGACCCCAAAACTATCTTGTAAAAATAATTGTTCAAATGTATTCTAACAAAACGGTCTTGGCCCACTGCTCTTGATTTTGTTACCTCGACCTCCGTACCTTGATCTGCCACTGTTGATACAATAGCTTTGACTTACTAACCTAGGCCGATGGCGTTGACCTGCTAGGGTTAACACAATGACCCTTGAGACCCCGCCGGCGCACCTACCGCGAAGAGGGCTCCGGCGCCGTAGGCCAGTCCGATGGAGAGAGCCTTGCAGCCGGCATCCTGACGCACCGGATCCAGCGAGGCCAGCGTGGTCAACACCACCAGGAACGTGGCCAGGAACTCGGCGCCGAACGCCTGCGTCAGGGAGACGCCCGGCCGCACGGCCGCCACCTGCCGGCCGGGCAGCACGTGACCTGACGGTGTGGCCAGCTGTGTCGAGTGGGGTGGCGGACAAAAGGACTTCAATATAAACATTGCGTGGCAAGGACACAAAAATCAAAGTTAGTATGCATAATTTTTGCTAATATCAAGCTGGTAGAATGCAATGTTAGTTGTGTCAAAAGCTGGTAATGTAAAGTTCGTTTGGTATGAAAGTTGTATGGTCAAGTGCTTGCTATGAAATATTTTGTCAGGTATATGCGAGCATCCGCAAAAGTGGCATGGAAAGAGATGATACCGATCTGCTCGTGCGCAAATGTTTATCAGGGATAATGTTCGTATGATAATAGTGCGTACGTCAAAGTTCGCATGCGACAATAGCATTCTTAAAGCCAAATATTATGAACGGCCGAGGTTTATGTGATACCAAACGCCCTTTGATGTGAAGCAAATGAGCCCGTGCCAGTCGAAGGCATTGCAAAATAACCGTTGAGTGGAGGATACTGGAGTTAAAGGCTTAAAAGTATGCCTACAGCAGATCAACCATCTCGTTTGTATGCTTGTGATCCCCGACCCCGATGGCGCCTCTGTCGACGTTTCCGCGCGTCGTCGTCTGAGCGAACCACTGAGGCCAGCTCACGGCTGTGGTGGGTTCAGCTGGCTTGTGGAACAAGGTGCGCATCGCTTGACGTCTGGTAGGTACACGACCGCCTTTGTACATGTAAAGTAGCCCAGAGACCGAAAAGCGTGATGCCTGTACCCTCTCTTTTGCACCTACCTGGATTTGGATCTTGTTTGCACCCAACCCAACGTTTTCCGAGGCTATCGTGGGTAAACCATGCGCCGGATAAAGCCGGACATTCCGCAGTCGATCTTTAAGCCTTGATTATCTCTCAGAAGGCGCATTTCAGTGAAATCTGCGACTTGGCGACACACAATAGACAACCTTGCCTGGAGGGCGAACATTTCCCGTTCCGAACACTCATGCGCGTACAATTCCTTATGAGCAGTTGCGCATGTGTGGAGTTTTTACGAAGCATGATGTACTCACTTCATGCATACGACTTTTTTGCATGAAATCATTTTACATGCGTACTTAATATAACGCGAACATTTGCTTGCGAACTTCTGACCACGAACTTTTGCGTATGTACTTCTACCATATGAACTTTACACATCACGTGCAATTGCTTATGAACAATCCTGATCATGCTTTAAGCATGCGTATTTTTTCCTCGAAGTTTTGTCCTCAAACCACCGGGCGGCCAGTGGTACATTCAGGTTCTAGAACACGTGTGAGGTGGAACGTGGCCTGCCGTGGCGGTAGGTGTGGTATCGTTCGAAGCCAAACGCCGCCCATGTCATGTCATCAAAGACCCTGGGATAACTAGCGGACAGAACGGCGCGCTCACTCCAGTGCTCGGCTGCGTCACACGTGTCAGATCACATTGCAGAGATTTCAGCATCATGTTGGTCCCATTCAGCACCTTACTGGCACGACGGCGCGGCGACAGTGCATCGCCAGAGAACACGGCGGCTGCGCATGAATAGCCAGCGGAATTACAAAGCGAACAGCAGCACTCTGCAACAGGAGTGGCGCCGAGCCTCTCTGGCAGTGGCAGTACGGTCGATGGCTATGTGACGGGGAGGCTGTGGAGCCGCGCCGTCACCTGGCCAGCCGCCGGGGTAAGTACTATGGATGTCGGTCATTTGGTGCGGAACAGGGCGGTTTCCGTGAACTGCTGACCTGTGGTACGTGACGAATGAAACGTTTGCAAGACTGAATGTTCGAAAATTTGGTGGGGCGAGGCTGGCGGGGTTAGGGAGAGTACAACAGGTTTAGGCTACTGCGCACTCCATTACGGTATGAACGGCACCAGAACGTACACAATCCACGAGGCCATAAGTGATGACGCCGCACGCCGTTCACTGGTGGTGCAGTGTCGGCTGGGGGACCCGGCCGGCTGAAGTCACCTCGCGGTCAGATAAAGTTGGAGTAACTCGCCGAGACAACGGGCTGGCCGGGCGAAGGTCAAAGGTCAGGCCAGCGCCCGGTCAGGCCACTCCCGAGCAAAGCCAGCCAGCCTTTCGAACAGGTCTTAGCAATGTGCCCTGCCTTCGGAGCCGTCTAACCCGACGACGCCGACATCAAAGCAAGTCGTCTGAAGAAGTTTGTGATCTGACGGAGATGTGCCGGCTTCAAAATGTGGGTAATGCATTCAACCACTAGAAAAATTTGTAGTTTCAGTGTCCCGTGGCGACAGGCTATAGCGGGACGGCGTGGGAAGAGATTAGGCTCCAGCGTATTTTCTGACCATCAAAATGATTGTTTAAATCAATAGTGCATCCTTAAACGCCGAGCTTACCTCAGTGAAATATTGTAAGATGCGCCCCTCCCTCGGCCAAGGTCACGCTAGTGTTGTCCAAAATGTGTTCGTCAATCGGAGCGGCTTCTACCGTAATTCCAGAGCCTGCTTTCACTTCAGATTAACCGTCATGTTGAATGAATAGTTTTCTTTCGTCTGGAATGTCATGGACTTCTCAGAGTCAAGCTGGGGAATGCTGAATTGCTTTTGCAAACTGTCCTTAGCTAACGAATGACACCATGGGCATTCCTTACAAAATGGAAACCACGGTGCCAACTGCATGATGTAAAATGAGATGCATCAAGAGGTTTGTGGGGAGCTCCATTTAGGGCGTGCCAGCATGCACAATATACGTGTCTAAATGCGCATAAAACGAGCGCGTTCTAATGTGGATGTGTAGCAGAGTGCGTTAAGTTTCTTAACAGAACGACACATGTGACATAAGCCCGAAAAATAAAATAGGGCTATCGATGAAGACAGGAAAGGAAAAAGGCAGGGAAACTAAAATAACAGAAATATGAAGAGAGCGAAGGAGAGGAAGTGGGAGAGGGGGAGCAACAGCAATACAGAATGAGAAGGGGAGACAGAAAGGGGAAGCAGAAAGAGACAGAGCCAAGAGAGAGAAATATGGATACATAGACAGACAAGCAGACAGACCAATGAACAATCAAATAAACCAGCAGACAGACAGACTGGCAGACAGACAGACAGACAGACATACAGACGGACAGACAGACAGACAGACCGACAGACAGACAGACAGACAAACAGACGGATCGACAGACCCGTGCGTTACCTGCGCCAGCTGCGGTCCGTCGAGCGGTGTCAGGCCGTACAGAATCAGCGCGCCGGCTAGCGAGCCCAGCAACTGGACGGTGACGTAGGCGGCGGCGCGCAGCGGCGACACCAGTCGGCACACCAGCAGGCCGACCGTCACCGCCGGGTTGGCGTGCGCGCCGCTAACGTTGCCGACGCACTGCACCAGCGACGCTGCCGTCAGCGTGTAGGCGAGCACCAGTCGGGCCGCGCCGGCGTCGCTGGCCGTCGCCTTCCCGCCCGTCTCGCCGACGCTCTCCGCCGCGCCCGCCACGAACACCGCCAGCAGCAGCGAGGCGAGCAACTCCGCCCGCAGTGCCTTCCAGAACTTGGGCGAGCGTACTTCTTCGCGCACGCTGAAGTCTTGCGGCAGCGAGTCCAGGTAGCGCATCATCAGCTCCACTGGACTGAGCGCTGGGCTCTCGTGACTGTCCGTCCCGCCTGCCATCTGTCGGAGACCGACCGAAATGGTGTCAGCAGCCGGCCGTGAGAAATGAAGGCAGCGGGCTGAAGCGTGTGGGTTTCGTCGGCGGCGAGGGAGGCGGAGCGGTTGACGGGATCCTAAAGTTTGAGGCGGAGCAGATGGCTGAATTTCATTAGGGTGCCACAGCGTTGGAAACTGCTGATATATGATCCCATTGCAGAATACGGGGCTGAAAAATATTAACAGATAGTTGATCGATGTATCAGGATCTATTCTGAGAACTTCGCGCATCGATTCCAATGCATACCTTGCGTTTGTCAGTGCATACCAGCCTGCATACCAGCCAATGCATACCAGCCTGATGTAAGATTTATACTGCTACCAAAATTATGCTTTACACAGTCGCGGAATGCCTTACCATATAACACTACCTAATTGCAAAAATATATCAGCGCGAGACGTCTTTGACAGATCAAGAAGCCACAGACAACTGTACTTATAGGTGTGTACATTTTCGATCTACATCACTACCTGCCTTATGTTTCAGCAGAGCAGCCGCCGCTTCCAGCGCTGACGTCACTTGCCGAAGCACAATACATAAACGCCAGTATCACTAGCTTTGCAGGACGAGCTCACTGGGCCCGTTATCACATGAGGTGTCTCAAGCCAGCTCCATCCGGCTGGCTTACACCGCATGTCTGCGTCTCTAGCCCAGCTGGTGGTGGCCAAGGGACCCGTCACTACATGTCTGTGTCTCTAGCCCAGCTGGTGGTGGCCAAGGGACCCGTCACTACATGTCTGTGTCTCTAGCCCAGCTGGTGGTGGCCAAGGGACCCGTCACTACATGTCTGCGTCTCTAGCCCAGCTGGTGGTGGCCAAGGGACCCGTCACTACATGTCTGCGTCTCTAGCCCAGCTGGTGGTGGCCAAGGGACCCGTCACTACATGTCTGTGTCTCTAGCCCAGCTGGTGGTGGCCAAGGGACCCGTCACTACATGTCTGCGTCTCTAGCCCAGCTGTTGGTGGCCAAGGGACCCGCCACTACTTCGAGATATCATCGTTCGGTCGTGCCTTATGAAGCTCCCACCGCCCCTCATTATCGCCAGGGGACGTGGCGTGAATGTTTCTGGTGTGCGTCCTTAAATGAAAGACTATGGATACCTCGATTCGCTTGACTCTTAAAGTTTTTATTGATCGATTGCTAGTGAATTCATTACATTGTCTCATAGTGTCTGTTGTTAACATCCATCATCATCACGCGAAGGTAAGACATATTTAAAAGACAATTTAACCATCAGGGCTACTCGTAAAGCTCGGGCTTCTCTGCAGTCAATCACAACGAGTAAGTTCAGCAACAAGAACTCTGAGCGAAGACTACGCGCCAGTAAATGGTACATGGATATTGCACATTTACAAACGGGGTGAAGTTTCGCAGCGTCAATTGGAGGCGGGCGATTAAGCTCCTGGTAGAGCACCATGGCGTTGTGGAAATGCAGATCACTCGCCGGATTTATGAAATGTATTCTTTTCAAAGACACACGCACACACACACACGCACACACACACACACGCACACACACACACACACACACACACACACACACACACACACACACACACACACACACACACACACACACACACACACACACACACATATATATATATATATATATATATATATATATATATATATATATATGCCGACATTCAAACAACACTGAACACTGAAACGGAGGATGTATATATATATATACATCCTCCGTTTCAGTGTTCAGTGTTGTTTGAATGTCGGCAATGATGCTCCAAGAATGCTGGTGTGATACATCGTAGCAACATGTTTCAGACCTGACTGTACTTGGCATGTAGTGATCAATTAACAGCGTTTCCCTTCACCTAGAGCCAGTTATGAAGCATTAATCTTAAGGTTTCTGTCAAGAAGATCGCCCCGGCATGGGGCGAGGTCTGTGGGATCTGAACGTTAATTTCTGCATGAACCTCAATCTGCATGACGGAAAATGTCTGGAAAAAGATGAAAGTCTGCAATCCACGGGAGCATACCGTCGATTTGGGGCCAAGCATCACGGACGGACTCAAAGTGAGTGTTGAACTCGATTGCGGGGGGTAATGGATTCCATCACTTTGTTCGCCAAGATATCATGATTTATTCAAGAGTTCCTCCTCAAATGCTGCTACTTCTTTACCAGTTATTTGCGATCGTGCTTGCGCCGGTTCAGTACAGTGTTGGAGATTAGATTGCATCTTTCATAAGGCAACAGGCAAATGGCACGGTATATTGAAACTTAATGAACACACGTCGCACCCTATCGATGTATGAGAGTGTTGAACAGAAGTCAGCCTGAAGTTTGATGCCCACTCAAATCTATTATTGATGGGAGGTGTCGACAATTTGAATCAACCTTCTAAGTTTGTCCCTGACTCAGAAGACGATCCCATCCGCCTCAGGTCAGTGATCTAGAATTATAAATAAAAATAATATGAAAAAATGGAAGATACTTTGTTGGAAAAGTTTTGTTATCAGCTGATTTGACTTAGAATATGGTAAAATAAATGCTCAAATTGTGATATTCATCTTGTAAATTTTATCTAGAAGACCTCTATTGAATTTTTCACTCCTTCATTTTGGGAGTGATGAGATTTAGTCGTCAAGTTTCTTCGGGTGAAAGAAATACCTGGAGCAAAATTATCTACCAGGCCTTGCTGGTGTTTGCACCAGGCCCTGCTTTCGTGGTGTGGTGGTGAGACAAAACAATTGGGGATGCGTGAAAACCTTGCATTTGGCACACTGCCGCCGATTGTGATGCATTTTGTAAACAAACCAAACTTGATGCGTGCAAGCGGCTGGAGTCGCTGTGGGGTCTTGGGTTTGAAGGTACCTGGCGCCCTTGCTCTGTGCATACATAGACATGATTCAGATTTATGCGAGGCAGGACATAGCCATAGGTGTCCAGGTTCTGTGGAGCCTTGTTTATGCTTGGTGGTTTCAAGTGGGCTCGATTTTGTATGACATCTGAAGACCTCAGAAAGGGAAATATGGGCTTGGCATGTGCGATTAGACAATGCCATGCAGGAGTGAAAAAATCACATAAAATATGGGGAAAAGGAATGAAAAATTCCTCCTCATACGGTGTTGCTTTACATCCAAAGTCGGCAATGCTAGGACACTGCCTCAGGTTGAACTGGAGACCGGACTTGGCGACAGAAGGGGCACTACCTCCACAGTGTTCATCTAACACTTACACATGCTTCAACTGAAAAGGTGTCTTAGTTTTGCCCATCGTTCGATGTCACCATCATCTATATCCCGTCTGGGCATGCCTGGCAGACTGAAAGTAAACAGGCCATCAATACCCAGCCAGCAGCGCAACAAGTCTATATTACGCCTAATTAGATTACTCTTTGCAGCGGCTGCAGGACCACACGGTACTCAGGCCCATTTGGGGCCGCGACATTAGCGCTACGGCAAAAACTTCTACCGACAGGAGTGCTGCGGCAAAAACTTCTACACCGACAGGAGTGCTGCGGCAAAAACTTCTACAACGGCAGGAGTGCTGCGGCAAAAACTTCTACACCGACAGGAGTGCTGCGGTAAAAACTTCTACACCGACAGGAGTGCTACGGAAAAATTCTACTGACAGGGGTGCTACGACATCAGCTACAGACGACTTGTTTTTTCTGATAAGATTTATATAAGGCATGAGTGCTATGAAGCAAAATTTGTGCTTCAAAAACTTATACAGTACTGCCTAACCGCCTAAGGTGTGCACAACATAGTTCATCCGATAGGTTTTCATTCAGCCCGCACGCCAAACAGGACTGCCAAGGATCTTACATGCCGCAATCTACAACACGGCTGCCCCATGCCAGGCTAACCTTCTTTAGCCAGCTGTCAGCTGACGTTTCTATGACGGCCTGGCCAAACAATGCATTCGTCGTGCATCTCGTACCCTGTGCCGCTGGGTTATGGTGGCCTGGCCAAACAATGCGTCCGTCGTGCATCTCGTACCTTGTGCCGCTGGATTATGGTGGCCTGGCCAAACAATGCGTCCGTCGTGCATCTCGTACCTTGTGCCGCTGGATTATGGTGGCCTGGCCAAAAAATGCGTCCGTCGTGCATCTCGTACCTTGTGCCGCTGGATTACGATAATGAATGGAGACGGCAAGCCGCAGCTACTTTTGGCTACATTAAGGATGTCAGTGAGCATGTGTCCCTGTGTGGGGCCTAGCGCCGTGACTGCACTGTGCCCCCACCCACCCAGTTGCGGTTCATTCAAGCCAATGTTTGCACCGACTCGGCAAAAATCAATGGCTCGGCGGTTCGCGCCGGACTAATTGCCTCAATATTGGCTGCACACGTGACCATCGGTCGATGCTGCCAAACTGAGGGAGCAGACGCACACTGGGAACGTTCCAGGGGAGTTCAGCTGAGCCAAAGCGCAGCAGGCAGGCAACATTTGATTTGGCCAGATGGCCCTTCAGCACCAATGTTTAATAGGGTGCCGAGAGCTGAACATGACATTTTAAGATAGCTTTCGCTGCCAGGCCTGTGTTTCAATGTTGCTTAAATTAGTTTTATACACATTTAGAACAAATTTATTCTAACAAATGTATTACTTAAAGAAAGTGGTCATTATTCCATCACCTGTTGAGCTGATTGACACAATCTGGCGTTTCGTAGCCGTGAACTGCGTGCAGGTGTTTATCGAACTGAATAATCAGGATGCAATGAGTATATCATAAGACTCAAACGTCTGAACAAATCACTAACAAATCACACAAAAAATCACAGGATGGGTTCTTGCGGCATCATAAGATATTTATATCATCTGTGGCCACTGAGCAATGTGGGAAATATGTTCACGGATGAATTGACCGTCGCTGGTAAAAAGGCCTTCGAGGTACCTTAATCACAAACACGTATGCTCATCAGTGATGTTCAGTAATCAATGAGTTAGGGTTTGGCTTCGGATGCTTCATGCAACTCAAAACTTTTACTAACCTTTT